GACTGCAGTTCAATTACTCATTACCTCCGCTCGTCGCTTCGTGGCCGGTTTTATATATACAAGACTACACTATATCTAGAAGAATCATGAGATTTAAGGAAAAGACGTGAATGTTCAGAATGACGTGGCGTGATACTAATCACGTGACCTTGATGTCGTAACAATATACTCTCGAAGCGTGTAGTCTACTGTCTGATGACTATTATTAGTTAATAAAATAGTGTTTTATCCATAATTCCTATATGTTAAAAACACATGTTCCAAATAGGCACAATAATTGTTTGACAATAATTCTTGTACTATCAATAGAGAAAAGTTACAATGTTTAATTATTCTACAATATTCAATTCAGGTAATAAAAATAAAGTTTTTATTTGAACTCACATACTGGTGGTGGCTCAGACCACTCGCCTTTGTCATTACAAACACTCAGTGGTTCACCTATGAGGATAAAACCGTGGCGACAAATGTAGGTTATCGTATCTCTCGTTAGGTAGTGCCCTGTGTGTAAGACTCCACCGTTAAGGGGTGGTATTGGAGGTGCACAAACTATAGCTGTAACAATGAAAAAATATATATATTATATTACACAATACAGTTATAAGTCAAACTTATTTAAAATTATGAATTATGAAACCAAAAATAGTACGGTTTTTTTGACAACCATCTGTAGTTTGAGGAATAATTTATGTTATCGACGAGTGCAATAAAATGTCGTTCTTTTTCATCTTGGCTAAACTTTTATAAGTGTATAAACGTATTAATCCGCAAGGTGTATAAAAAAAAGTTTGGATATCTTTTTGCTTTGTAACACATAAAAAAATTAAAAGACAGTAGTTATTTTAAAAACAACAGTAATCAGTATGTTAATAGATCCTTTCATTGTGCTTTTGTTTTTAACAAAGAAGCACCAAGCTTACTACGTGTGGGAAGTACTTCTGTTGGTAGTAAACAGTTAATTATGAAGACATTGTGTCGGTCGTTTCTCTTCTTATTTACAAATTCATAACAATTAGAGGGTAAACAAGGGCACTATAATTAACATATAAATCTTGATTAAATAAAGTTTTAGGTAGTACAGGCAAGGTAGAGTTCGAATTTTCTAAGGCCAGCTTTTGTTTTCTTTTTTTTCACGTAGAAAATTAATTATTGATTAAGTCCTAGTATGCTTCGCGGGATCGAAACCTGTCATTGAACATGCTCGTCCTTTCAGTCGTGAGGACGTTATATGATGTAACTGTTTTGACCGTTGGTAAAGAGAAGCCCAAGACTTGGTTGTGGGTGTTGTTGACTATCTGTCTTCCCGCTAGTATGTCACTTCAAAATTAGAGTCAGGTAGCACAAGTAACCCTTGAGTAGCTTTATGTGAAATTCAACAAGTAAGCAGTATATTGCCGTTTCCTTAGAACCTCTGGTGTTACAGTAACTATAACTAGATTCAGCAATAATAGTGATTTTAGAACTTAAGAATACATGCTGTGTTTATTTTGTTATAGACCTTAAGCAAACACACCAAACTAAAGTGTGTGTGGTTTTGTTCTTGGCAGAGAATTTTATTTCGCTACTTGCTTATCATATGAGTCAGTATTATCTAAGAATTGTTATGTTATTAGTTTGAAATTAACTATAGATCATGATACACGAGTGTCTAACACTAAATTGCTTTTCAACTGTTACTAGCTAATTGTTTCGTGGAAAAATTTGCAAGATGTCAAAATAAACGAACACAGCCACAGTAATGCAAAGTGCAAGATAAGTTTGTAGAAGTCATTATATTTAGCTTCCCCCTTCTTATGAGATAGGAACCAGCTTGGAGGGATGCATTTGATCAGTGATTGAGTATTTGTCTATATATTCTGAAAATCAAGGCAAGCTTATGCACACACAAGAAACGTAAGTAAAACAATGGCTTGCACTGTGGGGTTTCCAATACTGTTCATAACAAAACCGTATGCCAATTAGATATCAATACATAAGTCATAGTGATAATTAATAAATAAGTTACGGACTATAGCAGTTTTGCTGAATTAATTATTAATAATTATTTTGTAAAATATTTATTACATTTACACAATTCCTTAAGCTATTATATCAAATTAATTTTTCTGCTTATATATATACAACTTTGTTCACATCAACCTTCCAGTTCTTTTTTTATTGAACATTTATTTAACTTGTTGATATATTATTAATAACCAAGTACTGTGTCACATGTTTGTAAGTGGTTGTCAGCCTTTGAAGATTCTTTAATGTTTACTTATTATGGAAGAAATAGCTATTAATTCTTTTGAAGCTCGCATTTTTTGCCTCTTGTAATTTGGCAAAAAGCATATATTTTAGGGCTAATAAAAAAGTATGACAGTTTTTTCCCGGTAAAAAAATTTTTGGCTTCAGGAAGTTATCACTCTACCAATAACAGAGGTAGACTCAGAAGAACTAATAAGTAATAGGACTACAAAAACTAAATGAATATCTTTATTAGTTGGCACTCAGCGTTTCGGTTTCCGCCTTCTACATGTATGACATGTAAATACATGGCTATACACCGGTTAAAAAGGAAGTTGACCAAGCGAACTGGAAATGAAATGAAAAAGTTGTCCGGAGTTTATGTTCCATATGGCTTGCGTGTAATGTTTCTAAATTGTTGAGTCGTGAATGTGAAATAATAATTTATGCTATGATTCTAAGTTATTGAGTTGAGTATGTGAAGTGAAAATTTACCATATGATTGTAGGTTATTCTAAATTGGAGAACCAACAGAGATTGAACTAAGTGTAGTGTTTATATGTCTTAGACAGGTTGTTGAGCTTGGAATGTTTTCGTTTGTTATATTGACATGTACAATTTTAGTTTCATTGTCTCGCAATATTTTCTTGCTTGAAACTAAAGGTTAGAATTTAGTTTAAGTATTTTATAAGCATAGACTTCAGCTCTTGAGTGAGAAACATATATTATGTTTTAAAAAGATACAATAATAGATTCACGACTTATGATACATCTCACATGTTCTAGTTTTATGCAAGTGCAAGCTAATATACTGTGCATAAAAAAATTAAATGTCAACTGAAATTCATAGAATTCAGCTACTAAAAGTCAAATCCATTGTTATTAAATAATGTTAATACTTCTCTTTATTAGAGCTTTATACACACATATGTATTTTAGGGTCTGTAATGTGATCTGAAGTACAAATGATGTGTTATTCAGCCTACGCTCGTAAATTCACATTGAATTTTAGGGTGGCGCAGGACGCGGCCTAATGGTTAATGTGTCAGACTGTGGATATCAGATTCTGTGGTCCGTGTTCCAATACCTCAAGAAAAGTTGCGTTCCGCATTTTTAAAGTAATCAGTACTTTAGATAAAAAATCCCACTATTCGATTACAGTAGTCCAAGAGTTGGCGGTGGGTGCTGCTGACTGGATGCGTTTCTTCTAGTTCAAAATTAAGTACGGTTAGCGTAGATAACTCTTGTGTAGCTCTACCAGCCGGTCTTGTGATGTTTGTTTGTAAACGCCGGTCTCAAACACGGTATCCAATTGCGGCTGTGAATATATGCGGCGATTCACAATCGAGAGAAAACGTTCTTCTATTGCACTATTATGGTGTCCGAGTTATTGTACCAATAGCCTGGAAGCGGTTTCATTTTTTATAAATGACACTTGTCAATTTGTAGCAGGCTGCTCTGATTTGATCATTTCCATGTGAATGAACAGATTGCAGCGTTTAAGCCCTGAGAACCACTTTACAGTGGGAACTGAGACAGGATCGGGACAGATCACTACATGTAGTATAGTCTCATCATTTTTAGTTCAGTTCTTATGACTGATAATCTCATGTGTGATTTGCATAAAAGTGAATTAAGAGGCGTTATTGAGAGTATTCTTAACAGTGGATTTTGCTTCCTTATGGTTTAATATTATAAATTATGATTATACTTTGTTTTGTGTAATTGATAAATAATAGTGATAATAAGCGAGAGGCCAGGCTACAAATAGAAGAAAAAATGATGACACAATTTTACAAAAAGCAATTTCATGTGTTTGTTTGCTGCTTAACACAAAGTTACACAATGGACTGTCCTTTGTCTACTCACGAGGGAATCCAAACCCGATTTTTGGTGTTATAAACCATTAGATTTATTGGTGAGCAACTATGTTATTTAGCATATGCTTTATCTATTTGCTGCTTTTATGGAAATACGCACATCATACATTTTTACCTCAAAAAGTCCAAGCAGTATGTGTGTGTGTTTGTTACGTTTAGCAAATTCACAATGGGTTATCTGCTATGTCCACTATGGGAAATCGAACCCCAGATTTTAGCGTTGTAAATCCGTAGACTTACCGCTGTCTCACGGAGGGACTCAAGCAGTGTAATGTAAATGAATATTTTTTTTTATTAAAGCACACAAAGAATATGAACTGATAGTTTGTCAAAGACTCTGAAATATAGAAAAAAATTGAGACAGACATAAAACATAAAGAAATGGTGTTGTTAGTGATATCGATTTTATATTTGCTCTCGGTTTTGAAGATAGAGATGTATTAAAAAAGAAAATCAATTTTCAAATATTTCCTCATATTTCCAATACTGCGTTTAATCTTAATGATACATATAATTCATCCGTCCGTTTTCTGTCGTATTATCTTTATTAGCATTAACATGTGCCCGATAATTTCTGTATTTTTCATTTCCGCTACAATGGCGTAGTCGATTGGAAGCATCCCACTTTAATTGCATATACTTTCTGATAAAACATGCCCTTCAATAGTTCACTCGCCATTCATGTGAAGGCAAATCTGCCATAATATTATTAAAACACGTTGAAAGGATAACGTTTTGCATGGTGGAAGCTTGGTTGTTTGTTTTGTTGAATTTCGTACAAAGGTACTTATGGGTTATCTATGCTAGCCGTCCCTCATTTAGCAGTAAAAGACTAAAAGGAAGGCAATTAGTCCTCACCACCCACCGCCAACTCTTGGGCTACTCTTTTGCCAATTGTGGGATTGACCGTCACATTATTATGCCCCCACGGCTGAAAGGGCAAGCATGTTTTGTAGGACGGGGATTCGAACCCACAACCCTCAGATTGCGAGTCAAGGGTCCTAACCACCTGGCCATGCCAGGTATATATAAAGAGATATGGCTCTCAATGTGAGTAGAGAAAATACTCAGATTGGGCTTCGTATAATATTTCAATTATTTCAAAAGCTTTTCTATTGAATACTTCAGCAGAATAATTCAAAGACATGAATTTTACAATTCTTCAAAACATGTACAAACATTGATTCAATATAGTAACAGACGACAGAAAACATTATACTTATTAAATATATTTTAAATACGTAGAAAATTGACCTTGTTTCTTATGTAGATAAACAGAATGTAAGATTAAAATTATATTTTAAGATTGTGATAATGATAATAAACATTATACAACGGGTAAAGTATGGAGTGTCCACATTGCTAACATAATTGCTTAATATCTATAAATACATACGTAGTTAATTGTCTTATATTGCTTATATTTGAATATCTATCATATGTTTGTTTGTTGTTTGAATTTCGCGCAAAGCTACTCGAGGTTTATCTGCGCTAGCCGTCCATAATTTTGAAGTGATAGGCAGATAGTCAATACTACCCACCGCTAACGTTTGGACTATTCTTTACCAACGGATATTGGGATTGACCATCATATTATAATGCCCTCATGGCTGAAAGGGCAAGCATGCTTTGTGATGGGTTTCGACCCCGTGACCCGCAGATTGTGAGCCGAGTGCCCTAACCACCAGATCATGCCAGGCCTCTATATTTAGTCTTTGAACACATCACCATCACATAATTTGTTCTAAGTCAATAAAATTGAAACAGGATTTATAGAAAAGGATTTTCAAAAAGTTTTTTAGTTTACGCGACAAAGCAAGGGTTTTAAAGTAAAGATACTGAGTTTTGATCTTGATCTCTGACTAAGTAGATATTGGTCTTTAAATATCAGTGTCCTTTACTTTGTTTAAAACGTACTTGAGTAATACCAGTACAGTTATTAAAAAATACATAAAATAACAACATCTCAATTTACCTAGTATTTGGTCTGAAAAAAATAAGAAAAATTACATCATGCCTGAAAATAGAACAATAAAGGATATACCACACCCTCCCTCCTCTGATAACAGAAAGGATATTGATATAGAGATAGTATAGCTAATAATTCTAGAAGCATAAACCAGGATTCTGTAATATAGAGTGATTAAACTTTAAATTTATGGGGTAATTTTAAAATTTGGCCTTTCACCTATATATTTGTTAGAAGCATGTTTAGGGCTTCTGATTATCGGTTTTAACCGATAAACACCAATAAAACACTTCATTCAGTTTAGTTTACAGTAACTTCCCTATTTTCCCTATTTAACCCTTTCCATAGAGACTACATTGTCTTGGAATATTACTCTGAAGGAAATGGAACACGTTTCGTCTATTAGGGGTAGTTTTTTTTTATAATTTCATATAAAATATTAGATACTCTTACAAAGCTTTAACCTAAATAGAACTGTGTTTTATACCTGTTATTACTTCAATGAGAGAAATCAGCGTACAGAGAATACACGGGGTATTAATATATTCATTACAGCATTAAAGAAAAACAAACCCGAAAAACACGGATTTTAAGGTATCTATATAAAATTAAAAATGAAAACCCCGAAAAACACAGAACTTAAGGTAGCTGAATAAAACTATAAAACAACTAAAAATAAACACCGATTAAAAAAAACAACAACACTGAAACGCAGAAGCCTTAAGCACGATTAATAAAACGACAAATATTGATTGAACTGTTTTTTTTATTAGTGCGCTTTTACCGCAAGATAAAGTTAGTTATAATTTCATGTTTTCGCATTCATTTGATTACAGATGTAAATAATTTTTGCTAGTACTTGCTGTATTGACGTTATTTTTTTCACAGAGAGAGAAAGTATTCACTAACTTACCTTTACACACTGGTGGATCATCCGACCAAGACTCATTTCTCAGACACTCAAGAAAAGACGCTCCCACAAGTTTGTAGCTGGCTGGGCAGGAGAAGCTGACTCTACTACCATATGTCCGTTTATGGGTGCTAAGTGTCATATGAGGGTTGTCAGGTGTAAGGCGTGGACACTGGATGACTTGTCAGCACAACCAAAACAATTTGTAAGTACCATAACATGCAAAAGATATTGATCAGATTAACAAGATAAGCCATTTCGTTAAGAATAAAATAATTTTCAAGCAATAAGAAAAAACAACAACAATAACATGGATATCTTAAAAAAAGAAGAAGTTAAAGACTGAAGTAAGTACATAAAAACAATTTGACAGTGTTAAATATATATATGTAGTCCCTAGTGGCACAGTGGTATGTCTGCGGACTTACAAAGCTAGAAACCGGGTTTCGATACCTATGGTGAGAAGAGCACAGATAGCCCATTGTGTAGCTTTGTGATTAACAACAACTACTACATACATATATATATATATATGTATATATATAAAGAATAACGCTAGATTTGTTAAGATTATTATAGAAATAACAGATATAAATTGTGAGACCACAATAGAATGGCGTTTCTACAATAACGAGACATGAAAATAGTCTTATTGGAAAACTACTCGAGGGCTATCTGCTAGCCCTAAATTTGAAGTGATAGATTAGAGGGAAGGCAACTGGTGAATATTACCCACAACTAACTCTTAGGCTACTCTTAACCAACGAGGAGTGAGACTGACCGTCACATTATAACATACCCACGAAGTAAAGTGCAAACATTTTCAACTATAGGTTTCGATCTTCCGACCCACAGATTGCGAATCAAGTTCTAATCATCACGCTATACCCCGAGACAAAACGGTTCTTTGTTACTGTGTTGGCATTCAGATAATGATAAGATTTATTGAACTCAATATCCAGTTGCAAGCTTTGAAATGACCACGACTGAGGAGGAGATCACGTTAACTTTTACGTGAGACGCGGAATAATAAGAATTATTATTAACCTGAGATAAGTAACCTGCTTTAATTCTTAGAAAAACTGAACTTCAAAGAGTATTTCTGTTGAATTGAAAAACCTTTAAAAAAGTGAATTGGCACAGTTTGATTAATTGTATTAATTGTCCAATAAAATATTGAATTATTATTTCTCAATACGTGTGTGGGTTATCTGTTAATCATAAAAATGTGAAACATTTGGTGTTAAGCTGCATCCACAATGGACGCGAGCGGAGTGAATGTTTGGTTGTTTTTGAATTTCGCGCAAAGCTACACGAGGGCTATCTGCGCTAGCCGTTCCTAACTTAGCAGTGTAAGACTAGAGGGAAGGCAGCTAGTCATCACCACCCACCGCCAACTCTTGGGCTACTCTTTTACCAACGAATAGTGGAATTGACCGTCACATTATAACGCCCCCCACGGCTGAAAGGGCGAGCACGTTTAGTGTGATGGGGTTTCGAACCCGCGACCTTCAGATTGCGAGTCGAGCGCCCTAACCACCTGGCCATGCCGGGAAGCGAGTGTTGCGGCAGAGTGTCTATCCACACCAGACGCGAATTGGAAGCAATCCAAAAGACTAGAAATAATCATATGGCTAGGTCTGTATATTTCTGTGTGATTCAGTGCATTCCTAATGTCTGTTCCAAATGTACGCTTTGGGGATGAACTATTCAATTCCGTTATTGAATCAACACACTTTTTAAATAAATGTTATTCTTTACAAACTTGTTTTTTGATTCTTTTGGTTTATCAACTTATGCTATTTGAAATTATACTGCTATTACTGATGCGCACGGTAATTAACCAATAATAATCATTTTAGCAAAGGTGCAAAGCTTAGTTTACACGTTATTGTCTTTCACTTTAAAGCCCTGTTTAATCTGTCCAGTGATTATAGAGTCTTCTGATCACTTTATTTATTAATAATGAAAATACATAGATTACTTACAAGAGACTGCAGATGTTCAGCCAGACATTGTCCGTTTTATTTGCAAGGGACAGCGCTGCACGTCATAAATAGTTTTTTTTATCGTCGATGTTTCACGTGCTTTGTTCTTTAATTTGTTTCAAAGCTATTAACCTTGTTTCTGATTAACTAGTTTTATTCGAATTGGGCGATGAGGGGAAAAAAATAGAGATACGTTCTATTTCAGCGATGTGGCGAACTCCTCCTCCAAGCGGCGCCACTCGCGCCTCCCACGATTAGTATGGATGCTCCTATCTACTGCATTCATTTCTAAAAACTTCGCCCGCACCGCTCGCGTCCAGTGTGTTGCACCTCTAAAGATACAGTTTAAAATGTCTATAGTTTCGAGAAGGTGACAAAAAATTGGTTTGGTCTGAATTTCGCGCAAAGCTACACGAGAGCTATTTGCGCTAGCCGTCCCTAATTTAGCAGTGAAAGACTAGAAGGAAGGCAGCTAGTTATCACCACCCACCGTCAATTCTTGAGCTACTCTTTTACCAACGAATAGTGGGATTGACCGTCACATCATAACGTCCCCACGGCTGAAAAGGTGGGCATGTTTGGTGGGACCCTCAGATTGCGAGTCAAGCGCTCTAACCATCTGTCCATGCCGGGCCCAAGAAATGGAGTGAT